CGTGGCCAAGCCCCGGGGCAGGCGGCACCTCCAGAGCAACAACAAATGGCACCTCTGTCCCTACCAAGACACACCATTATGTGAAGATCCATATAGAAATATGGATTGACAGACTTGACAAAAATGGTAGCTGATTTTTATTAGTCTAAGGCTAGTAGTTTAGCCATTTAAAATCCATTTCCCAAAAGAGGGGAAAAAAACCTATTATTTTTTCTCTTCTTTAAAAATCCGTTAAGCCGTTGCTGCCAAAAGCAACATGTAAATGTTGGTGAAGGCAAAAGATTTCTAAAATTACCCAGCTATACGGTTATGGCCTTCATCACAAAGATAAAAGGTACATTTATTGTGCTGTCTCTCACCAGATTTAATTGGTAACTTTACAACATACTATATATTTGATGCTAGCAGGCAGACAGAATTAAAAACAGATCTTTTGACACTGTTTCTTTCCCCGTTCTTACAAAGTAGGGGACAAAGAAAAAGTAAAATTAAAAAAAAAAAAAAGAAAAATAAAGGAAAAAAACTCATAACCCACTATAACACAGCGTAATCAGGAGACCTCGGGGGGTCCAAGCGCGAAAGTCCATCCCTGCCCGCAGCCCCTGCCCCGGGGCTGACGGCATCGGGGGAGTGTGGGGAGCGGTGTTCCTTGGTGCCCTCCGCATCTTCCTCTACAGTGTTAGTCCACATGTTTAATGTCCTTTAAATTAGAAATAATGCCATGGCGGTGAGTGCCAAGTGCTCCTCTGTTACCAGTTCATCATGGAGTTTCTGTTGAGGGTCATGAAAAACACTTGGCTGCTTCCTCCGGATCTCACCGATGCAAAAAATACCTGTTTGGAAGCAAAAAAACCCTTATTCATGATTTTTATTATTACGAGAAAAAGTCTGTTAACTGTCTCAGTGAGCAAGGAAAGCAGGAGCTGCCCCACACCCCGTGGTCTCCTCTGTCTAAACCTCCCTGGCTGCTCGTGCTCTCCGGATGACGGCAGAAATTTTACACAGACCCACTGCCCAGTTCTCAGTTTTCCGTGGAGCTCAGGGGCTGGAGCTAACCCATGCAAGACTTGGATCAAACCCAACCACTAATTAGTAAACACGGTAATAAAACTTCCCTTGCTATCACTACCAAAGAGAGCAAGGTTTGGAACGCCTTAGAAATGCCAAGTTTATCTATTTTACTGCCACGGCAGCATTTATTACGCAACATTAATAAGACTGCTGTCAGTGGTTTGGCTCAACATGCTGCATGGGAGTTTGAAATGGTTTTCTTTTGAAAAGGTATTTCAGCTGTTTCTGAAAATAAAGCTCGGGAAAACGCCTTTCCTTCAATATGCTCAAAGCACAAGAACGTATTGGGACTCTCCATGAAGAATAAAACCTTTTGGTGCTTCTGTCAGGATCCACCAGCATTTGACCCCACTGAAAGTCTTAAAAAGTAAGTTATAATTTGCAAATATTTAAGGGGACAATCTGAAGCCTCTGTCCTTTTTAAAACCAAAAATTATTCCATCTTCACACAACTTTACTCATTAACTATTTATCCTTTACTATCCATTAACTAGAAAGAGAAACACCTGTAATTAGAATTTCAAACCCACCAGTGATCTGTTGGTTCCAGTATTTTAGAAAGATTGAGGTGGGTTTTTTTCCAGTTTTCTTAGAAAAGAAAGAAAATCAATAGGAGCAAACCACAAGAACAACCCTTTAAAAAAACAGTATAAAACCTGCAGAGTTAAGTACTCAAAAAGTTAGGAAAAAAGCAAACTAGGGGTATTTGGGCAACTTAAATTCAGCTACTTGGGCGGCTTCCCATGGTATACTCAACTGCAAGGTTAGGACCCATCTTTTCTGCAGAGCTCCAGCCTAACTCCACGCAACAGGTAGGGCAACGCTCAGCGAATGAGCAGCTGTTCAGTGAACGGGTCATGGCCTCAAACCTTATTTATTGCACGTTATGAACCCTGCTCTGGGGACAGGACAATCAGCTTCTTCACGTGTTTCGTACTTGTGCTCGTTACGAAAGAATTCCCTGCTGCATGGTCCTGATTCATCGCGGTGAAACCTCATGGGATGAGAAGATACCAATAGCAGAAACGGACCTCGGC